GCTACACATTGCCCCCCCAGCAAGCTGGGTACTCATTTTACCGACCTCGGAAGGATGGAAGGCTGAGTCAACCTTGAGCCGGCTACCTGGGATTTGAACCCCAGGTCGTGAGCACAGTTTTAGCTGCAGTACAGCGTTTTAACCACTGCGCCACGAGTGGTGGTGGTAAGGCCATCAAGTCCAGTGTAGGAATCCAAATCAAATTAGATCTGACAGATGGTGGTCCAATTTTCTCTTGAAAGCCTGGAGTGCTCACTACATCCAAAGGTATTTGGTTCCATTGCTGTACTACTCTAACAGTTAAGACTTTTTAAAAAAAATTCAGTGTAAATCTGTAACTTAAGCCAATTATTATGGGTCCTTCATTCTCCTTCCTTAGTATGACCATCTTTCATGTGTCTGAAAAGTGCTATCATGCTATCATATCTCCCCTCAAGTCTTCTTTTCTCAAGACTCAGTGCATCGTACAGCACATCCAAATCCCTTTCATTTGTCCCCACAAGAACCCTAGGAGGAGATTAGACAGCAGTAGTATTTCTATTTCACAGATGAAGAACTGAGACAGAACTGGGAAATCATTGCAGGATTTCTCAGTCTCCCCACCCACCTATCCCCTCATTACAATGACAAAAAATAGAGATGTATTGGGGAGAGGAATAAAACATTATGTTACTTTTAGTGTAGAATTTTGGTATCTTGGTCTGCCCAGGTTTTATAAATAAGGTCCTAAATGTCACTGTTTTAAGAACTGGTCCAATTGGAGCATTTGTTCTCCTATATATACATAACTGCGTACTGATGATATGTGTATTTTTCTCAGCATCAGGACAATGCAAGCTATGAATTGATTGTGGTTGTGTGCCATGATGGGAATCCTATGCATGAGCGACGTCCAGAATGTCCTGTCTTCAACAACCCTGTTCAGCTCTTGTAAACTCAGGTCTGTGGTTTCCTTTAGGGAGTCAATCCATCCGATGTGTGGTCTTCTTCTTCTCCTGTTGCTTTCAACTTTCCTCAGTACTGTTGTCTTTTACAGTGAGTCTCATCTTCTCTTCAAAGTAGGACAGTCTCAGTTTCATCATATTTGCTAGCAGAGAAAGTTCAGGCTTGATTTGATCTAGAATCCACTGCAAAGCTCTCCTCTAGCACCGTATTTCAAATAAATCATATTTTTCCCTTTTTTTTTCACTGTCCAGCTTTCATATCTACATACAGGAACTGAAAATACAATTGGGCTGGTGATCCTGGTCTCCAGTGGCATGTCCTTACACTTGATGATCCTCTCTAGTTCCTTCTTAGCTGTGATCCCAAGCCCCAGGATGGGCTCAGACAGGCACTTAGCCTGATGTTTTGTTCAGTGAAGAAATGGACTGGTTCGCTCTCCCCCCTCCCCATTAATCACACAACACAATTGCTGGAGCAAATCAGCCTGTTCCCGGTGTGTTGCTACCTGCACCTTTCTGTGCCCCTGTTAGGATTGCTCTATTTTGTTTAATTTTCAGTGTGTGCAGTCGCTGGAACCAAATTAAAGCAAGTTTGAGACTTGTTGTACGGACTGACTTGAGACTATCCCCACAGTTGAATTCACTGCTGACTGGGACTTGGTGGCAGATTCAGCTGCAGGTAGGTTCCCAACCCGATCTTTAAGTCAAAATAAAAGAAAATTCCCCTTGTTGCCCCCTGCTATCTCCTCCTGCTTCTGTGAGGACATCTTCCTTTTCTTCTTCTTTTTTTATAAGTGATGCAGCATACCAGCACCGCCCTAATACAGTCTATTTTCTCCCCACTTCCTCTGCCCCTTCATGGAGGGGCAGAGGAAGTGTTTAATTTGCCAATATTGTAAAGTGGCTGTCTTCTTAAGCCACTTTAGGATTTGGGAAATCCCCAGCATAAGGAGCTGGACCAAGAAGGGTCTCTTGAGAATTGCACCAAAAGGCATACATGACCTCTATGTCAGTGGTCCCCAACCTTGGGCCTCCAGATGTTCTTCAACTACAACTCCCAGAAGCCTACACCACCACCCCTTCTGGCCAGGATTTCTGGGAGTTGAAGCCCAAGAACATCTGGAGGCCCAAGGTTGAGGACCACTGCTTATGTGACTCCAAGTGATCCTATTTAGCCTGCATCAACCTGCTCCGAAAGAGCTCATGTAGACAAGACTTCAGCATTCTGATTTCTGGACTGCAGTCTCCATTTGACCAAGGTACAAAAATCTTTAATAATTTCAGTTTCTTCATTGTCAACATTAAAGTTGTGTAGTTCTTCTGCAGTCAAGGTTGCCTTCTTATTATTCAGCTGCAATCTTGCTTTGGCCCTTTCTTCTTTCACTTTCCCTAAAAGTCATTTCAAATCATTGCCGCTTTCTGCCAGTAAGATGACATCATTTGCATATTTTAAAATATTGATTTTTCTTCCATCTATTTTTACTCCTTCTTTGTCTGAATTTAAACCGAGTAAAAAAAAAAAGAGTGGCAAAACCATGGTTTTCCAGGTTGTGTGTGTGTTTTCAAACTACATCCTGTAGGTGGGTCTGTTTGTTTCAATTCGCACTGACTCAGTTCCAGCCGCAAAAGTTTCTGCTATTGTCAGGAGCTTTCCAATTAGCTTAATTCATGAAACAAAAACTGAAGAATCCAGCAGAGAAGATAATTTCTAAAACATTTTTCTCAAGATTTTTTTTAAAAAAAGCAGTTGCTTCTAAAGATAGCAGGCTATTTTATTTCTTGGCTGAGATAAGCACTTCCTGTATGAGGCACATGATTTGTCCCTGATCAAAAACTGTAACACAACATGGAGGTATACAAATTATGTCTAGATGATGAGTAGAGAATATTTTGCCCCTCAGATGTTGACAGTTATGTCTTCCATCATACTTCACAACTGACCTGGATGGCTAGGACTGATGGGAACTGGAATTTAACAATATTTGGAAATCTATGCATTCCCTAGTTGTGGGCTAGACTGTGGGATGGGTATTATTTTGTGGACATAGTTTAACACAGAATCTGGACCATATGATCTCTCATGGAGTTTCTACGTCAGTGACATTGTTTACGACTTTAGTTGATTATGACCAACATGTGAACAGAAGAATGTGTTTAGGCAAACATGAGCAGGAAGAGAACATCCGCGTCAATCACAGCCCTGCTCATGGCTGCCACCGGAAAGATCAGCTCATAAGAGCTCTACAGATAGAGACGTTCCACTGAAATGTCCAGTGTATAAGCTGAAGGAAAATCTGAGGAGAAATGTTTTCTCAAAATCCCAAAGGTTTACAGGAGTCCCCAGACTGACAAATCAAATCACTATAATATAAAGCTTTAAAATACAATTTTGTATGAGGTATCTCAGGTTTTAGAGTGATTTCCAACTTGTGTGAGTAGTCACACATGAATGACAGAAGAGTGGGAGAGAGCAAGCTTGAGTGTCAGCCACTCAAGCAATAGTTAAATTCTCTAGTATGAAAGGAGGTAAGTATGTTCCAGGAACTTTATTATCATTTAACACATAAATAATTCCAGTCATTTTATGTGGGTATTGAAGTAAGGATAATGGGGGTATCAGAGAAAATTGACCACCCCCTCTCCTCCTTTTTAAGGAGGCTAATGGGTATCCCACAATGTGTGGCGAATGTTTTTTTACAGGCAGTGTTTGCTCAGCCGTCTATCAAGGTGAGAGCATGGGAACAAGCCTTTGATTTAAGGCTGAAAGTAATATTTTCTGAGAGCTCTCTTCTTACCCTACTATGGAAAGATCATTTTAGATCCTCTTGGCAGAAACTAATAGATAGCAAGTCCTGGGTTTGTCACAAGAATTAATTAGGAACATGGGTGAAAGAGAATCAAGACTATATATGTATAAGGAAGCAAATTTACCAAACAGATCTGGCGGGTACCCAGATAAGAGCTTGGCGAGTAGGTTCTTCCTCCTTCTTTGGCATCTATTCCTAAAACTCTTCTGTCATATTTTTCTCATCTATCTATTCCACGTTACTGCTGAGCCTTTTTATATGCAAGACTGAATATTGTCCCTTCAAGGGACATGCAAGGAAGATTGTCAGGGCAACCTTACTTCAAGAGAGTTTGTCCATGTGACCGTGCTAGCCTGGATACTTTTTCACATGTCCTGTGTTTCTTCCCCTTTTTTTATGCAACGGTGAGAGACAGTTTTATTTAAACCTTTATTTGGTTTACTGGAAATACCATTCTCCGGAGACCTTGTCACTACATTATTAGAAGATAAAAATCCTTATTTCTCTGCAGCAGTTGCTAAACTTGTTCCTGGTATTCAGTACTCTAAGATAATTGAACCTCGTGTTATTTGAAAATTTTGTGGGGTTTTTTTGCTGTTGAAGACTTTTTCATGAACTTCCAAGGTAGAGAAAGCAAAGGAAAGTATCAGCCATTTAGAAGTCATTCTTGAACCCCAGATACCTTTCTCTAAATACCAAGTATCCCCTCAACACATTTTGAATCTTCCTGGCAACTGAGAATACAGTAAAGAAAATGATTTCTGACATGATTCAAAGGAACCCTGTTTCTATGTACAATCCAAACAAAGTCTGGAAGGCTGAACCTCTCCAGCTGTATTATAACAAGGCCTGTACTGAACCAGGCCACAGCCAGACGGGGCAATCTGTGATCTGATAAGAGGTATCTTTGCCCCATAGTGAAGCCATCTTTTGTTTCACTGTAGTCTCTGGTTGAACAGATATATGTTTTCAGACTCTTGAAACCTTAAACATGTCCCAATTACATAGGATATCTGTTTAAGGACCTCATGGGTGGCAGTGCCTCTTTTGTGACTGTGGTTATTTCTCTTTAATTGATTGTTGGCTCACCCTATCCAGCTTTATTGTCAGAAAACTAGCTCCCAAGAACAATTTTCTAATAATCCTCATCATAAAGCATACCCCCAAATTAGCTTGGGCAGGAGGTGAACTAAGAGTGAATTTCATACCTCTTTGTTCAAAGAGATCAGACGGTGGTGGCTTCACTTACCCGTGGGTTCAGGATCTGCCATGGCCGAGTCCTAGCAGCCAGATGTGCAGGGATGAATCCCAGTCCAAATCCTTGGATGACTCAAAAAGCCACCAGTCTTCTGTCCAGGTAGCCCCATGTAACTAGCATGACTTTTGCAGATCTGTACTCCTCCATGTACTCACGGCAGCCACTCTGACTGAGTTGCTTCCTGCCAACAACTGCAGCACTTCCGTGTGAGGAAACTTGTTTGTTCCTTTGATTTGCATACTTTTCGGTTAGCAGTGATGAAAAAAAGAAGGCCCCTCTTGCAATCCTGCTGGCTTTGCCATATACTGCAGCTGCTTGCGATCTCAATGGTTCAAGGGCTTTTTGAGGGGTTGTGGTGGTCCAATGAGCAAACCAGATTTTCTACTCAATAGGGGGGAAAGCAAATAAGGCACCATATATATGCATCACATCTGACTTGGAGGACCAGGGGACAGGTCTAGGTGTAGATGTATTTTAACCAATGTTATTGCTGCTATTTTTGTTTTGTAAGTCATCTTGATTCTGCTAATCACAAAAAGGGACAATCATACTCTTGTATAAAATACATAGCACCAGTTCAGCATTCCATAGGTTCTAAACACTGCATGCCAAAAGTATATGTATATTCCAGTCTTCCACAATGTTAGCCAAAGCTAAGAGAGCATTATTTTAAAAACCTAGTACATCTGCAACTGATGTAAGATTAGAACCAGGAGCTCCCCATCTTACAGTCTTAGGGTGCGATCACATGGGAAAACAGATAGCAATTTGGACTGCTTGTGGAGTGGTCCAGTCTATTTCCTGGTGATCACACAATGCATGGCTAAAGATGCTCCAGCCCAACCCTGATCGGTGCCCAAGCTAGACCTTTTGGGTCCAGGTGTAGGGTTTCTACTTTCAGTCACTGGGCTGGAGTGATTCACCAGCAGATGGAAGGGCTGCTTTAAGAGAAATCACTCCTGTTGAAGCGAGCCTTTGCAATCAGGTGCAAACTTGTGCAGTCATCTGATCACACCTTTAGTGACTAAAACGTACAAAATCAGGTAAACCTAGAGAAAGAGAGCCATTTTAGAGAGAACTGGGAGTGTTTTGAGAAGGGCACTACTTCTCACAGTGGGTTGGTCCTACTTCCTTTCTCAGCCTGATCTGAAGCAGGCTGTAAAAGCAGCACTAGCTCGCTACGAGACTATCCCCATGTCAGGGATGAATCAATATCCCTTTAGATACTCTTTACAACAAAATCCCCATGATGCATTTATGCACTTTCCAATTACAGAAGCAACAGAGTCAATGTAGAATGTCTTATCTCTTAGGGAAGGACTAACATCAAATTATTCTGAAAACATACCCATGCATATAATCAAACCCTGCAAGATCAAACCAAGGTGAACTTCATCTGAGCGCAAAATCTGTCATGAGGAAACCTACAGCCTTTCAGATGTTGCTGGAGGGCAATTTCCGTTATCTCTGTCTGGTATGGTGGCTGGGGGGGAGGGTTGGTGGAGGTTTAGATCCACAACATCTGGTGAGCCACAATTTGTTCTCCTCCTTCCACCAACTCTTGTAAATATACACATGTGCATGCATGCGAACACCCTTTGTTTTCTGCTATACCTTTCTCTGATGCAAACAGGTTGTCACAGTTTTGAAGCAAAATGAAAACTTGCAACAGGTGTTTCACCAAGGCAAAATAAATTATGAATCTACATGTCAAAATAGCAATTCAGCCTTTAAAGTTCCTTCAGGGCCCTTGGGAAAAAAAGTCTCTCTTCATTCTGTGTTTAGGACAAGGTGCACCTGGTGGGGACACAGGAAAAGGCCATCTCTGTTGCTGCTCCCAGGCAGGCTTTTCCTTAGCGACTGACTGTCTAGGAGAGGTTTTAAAGCAGAATGGTTTGTATTTTGTTGCTTCATTCAGGCAGGCTTTTCCTTAACGACTGACTGTCTAGGAGAGGTTTCAAAGCAGAATGGTTTGTATTTTGTTGCTTCTAAATCTCTTTTAGTAATGTTTTTGCCCAATATTTTTCTTAATATCCTTATTAATTCTTTTTTTAAATATTTGAATGATTTGCTGTTTTTTATTGTGTTTTTAATTATGTAAGACACCTTGTCTCTCTCTTTTTTTTAGGACAAAGGCAGGGTAAAATGTTTTAAATAAAATAAAAGTTATTTATAAGCCCATTTTAAGACGGGAATCATCCAAATGACTTCTTAAGGACAGATCGGGCATATTGAGCCATTTGTGTAAAAACAGTTAATGTTGCAATGAATAGAGATAGTCGGAGTGCATGAGATCTTGTATCTACGCTTGTAATTTCCTATCTATTTCTGTGTCCTCTTGAGTAAAACAGTGTCTTAAAAATGCAGTCTCTTGAATTAATGCCAGCTCTTGGGCTTCTACATGGTGTGACTGGAGGATGACAATGTTCTCTGCCCGGTACTTCTTCCTTGACCCTCTCTCTCCCTTTCTAGACTTGATTCAAACATTCAATCTTTTTTGAAAACATGACCACCTTCACAGGACTTGGCAAGTTCCATGAACATCTCAGTGATACGATACATATAAACAGGGAAGCGGCCTCTTGGAAGAAAGGTTCGACTTTTTGGCCACAGACAACCTATCTATCCTGCGCCTTCGTGGTGCTGGGCCCCACACATGAAGTGCTCAGATGTTCCAAAGAACTGATGTAAGTGAAGACCTGAGTCAGAAAGAGGAAGTGCAGCTTTTGTGCCTCGACTTCTCCATTTCTCAAAGCCACAAAAAATACATCTCAATAAAATAAGCCCTTCGAAACTTATTTGCCAGCAAACTGGGATTTGGCACTCTTCTGCATCCAAACCAGTGCCTGGAAAACCACAGCTCAGTACTGCAGGGTGTTGCATGATGTTGTCATTATGTGTTGTCAAAACATATTTGACCTATGAATTAGTGGTCTCTATGAAGTCCACTCGCTAACAATCCTGCTTCAAGCATGCAAACGAAAAGGAGATCTTTCCTTTCTTTTAGTCAATCTGTCTCATGTTTGGTCTTCCTCTTTTCCCACTGCCCTCATTTTTTCATTATTGACTTTTCTAGTAAGTTTTGTCTTCTTATGATGTGTCCAAAGTAAAATAGCCTCAGGTCAGCCACTTTTACTTTGAGTAGCAGAATAGTGTCTGCTGCTCAACTGTAACTTTATTCCATGCTGAAAGGCTGACATGGATCAGGGAAGTTCACAATGGTGTGCTGCTTTATTGGAGGGGAGGAGAGACTACACCTCCATTTTCCCTCTCTATGTGTGTTTGTGTGTGTGTGTGTGTTAATCAACTGTTTATGTTTTGCAGTTAAGTTTCTTTGGAGTATAAGAGTTATACAGTACACAGATTTCAAAGTGCACAAGGGTCCTGCACCCCTAACCCTAGCCTTGTTGAAGAGAGATGTGTACTATCTGCTTGGGGGGGGGGACGCTAGAAAAACATCCAGCATGTAAGAAACAAAAGCTGGGGAGTCCAGGTCTGCCAGACAGATCATAGTGTCCCATTTGAGCCATGCATAGCAAAGGACTACAAAAAGCAGAAGACGAGGCCCAGGACTGATTTCATTCTAATTGGTTGACAACCCTGTCTATGCAGAATTACCATTTCAGCAGTAATTACAATATAAACATAATGTAACAAACAAGCCTGGAAGATATAAGCATGAGGAAGAGGTAGATGTAGGTACTCCGGTAGAAAGAAGAGGGCAAACGGTGGCATAAAACCCTTAGAACTGAAGAGAACATTGCCGCTGCCAGACTTTCTCCTGCTGGTCTCAGGAAGCTGCTCTTCACCCACAGAGTGTGTGACAGCTTCCTCTTTGAAAAGGGAGCAGAGAGCAGCTGTGGAGTCCTTTTTACCCTGTTTCTGTTTAAGTAGCTCCTCTCAAGGGAACAAAAGAGCATGTACAGGAAAACAAACCAGGGATTGATAGACAGCTAAGTAAACCTTACCGAAATGCCACCTCAACACCCTTTGTTTATTGGGTCAGTTTAAGCCAAGCACTACTGACTTGAAGTGCAAAGTTTAAAAGGCCTCCCTGTCTCAGAACAATTCTACCCTCTCCTGAACGAGAGTCGTATTTGAACTCAGTTTCCAGTTGGTGCACCATTGGCTCCTCTTCCCATTTAGCCTTGTGACTACATTTCGGGGCTGGCATGACCGTTAGACAGAGTGAGGCAATTGCCTCAGGTAGATAATGGACAGCGGCAATGGTAGTTCCCCCCCCCCAGTCATTCCTTTTAAATCTCCTAGCCATTCTCCTCTTTTGGTGAGGAGAACAATATGGGTTGTATATCGCGAGGTCAGGCAGGCAAGTTCATGCCCGGAGGTGGAGCAGTCCGAAGTCAAGCTTGGAAAGCCGCACACAGAGATGAGGATGGGCAAAGAGTGGGTCTTCAGATGTTGTGAGGCTGCATCTCTCATCAGCCATAACCAGTGGTGCAGGCTGGTGGGAATTGCAACCCCCATAACATCTGGAAGGGGCCGCTGTGCCCCCTCCTTGTCCACACCACCACGGGTTTCCTGTGCAAAGAGTGAGGTGCACATTTCTATAAATGAATGTTTCGGTGGAAGAGTGAGCTGCGAAAAATCCTACTTGTTTCATCACCAGAACCTAACAAACAGTACTTGCTAAAATTTCCTCTTCATGGTACTACAGGCCTTGTGTTCTGGGTTATACCAGCAACATCCTTTCCTCCAAAATTTGTTTGAAATATTGTTCTATGTACATTGATAGTACTACGGTGAGATACTTACTGTTCACACAGGTAATGAGAGTAGCAATGGCTGCTTGGATGCCCTGGCTTTCATTCAGTCCTGGATACTTGCAGAGAAACAAGGAGATGGCCTGCAGCAAGTCAGACAGTTTAATTTCAACAGGGCTGGAAAATGTGCCGCCTGGAAACAGAATGACAGGAGACCTGTTTGTTTTCAGAGATTTCTCAGAGCAACATCATTGTTCTAAATTCTCAGACTTAGACTCTCGTTTTGTTTATTATTGCTTAAAACAAAGGAAAATTGCCTCCTGTGCACAAAATCCCTTGTGAGCATCATCATCAGGAGCTATAAGTACCCTGGTAAACGACTATATAGATTTAGGAAAAAGCCACGTGGTTCAGAATTACATAAATGCAAGAGTAGGGTGATACCTCTATTGAACCACCAAAAAATCACA